GTTTCTTTCGAATGTGTCAATTTTAAAGGTAATGATGAATATAATTAAAAGAATATATATATCAAGACTTGTAATTTTTTTCAAATAGTTGTTCAGGATCTGAAGAGCACTGTTGAAAAGTTGATGCAACGTGTGAAAGTTTTTGAAACTTTGGAACAACGTATTGAAAGCCTTGAAATGCGTATACCTTACAAAGCAATTTGTCCTGCAAAACCAGAACCTGAAGAATCAGAGCAGAAGCAGGGCAAAGAAAAAGATGATAACGATGAAGATATTGATCTATTTGGTTCCGATTCAGAGGCAAGTGAGCAGAGATAATAGAAATATATATAACTAGTATTTATAATAGAAATATATTAACTAGTATTTTTAAGGCTTAAGGCGAATATTTAAGTTTAATCTCGTATAACACAGAAACATACGTTAATATTTCTAAAATTTTTAACACGAATATATACGAATTTATATTGTATTCATGTAAAATTGTGTGATATTTATTATTTGGCATACACCAGATATTCCCATAATACTGATTCATCCAATATATTAGCACTCTTTTCACATCCATATAAATCCAATATATAATAGTTCTCTTTACAAGTTATAAAATTCGTCTACTTTTTAATAATTATCATAATAAAAATACTTATTGTGTTTGATTTGATAGGGAGAGGATGCAGAAGCTGCCAAGATTAGGGAAGAACGACTTGCTGCATATGCTGCTAAAAAATCTAAAAGTATGTAACACAAAGCTCAGCAAGTTATCCAAAATATATTATCACTAACTGATTTTTATCATATAGAACCAGCTTTGATAGCTAAATCGAATATCATCTTGGATGTGAAACCATGGGATGATGAAACAGATATGAAAGAAATGGAAAATGAGGTGCGAAAAATCGAGACTGATGGCCTTATTTGGGGTGCTTGTAAGTTTTTATAGCATCTTTCATCTAATATCGTATGTGAATTCCTAAAAACATATCCTTTTTTTCGTAGCAAAACTCGTACCGCTTGCTTTTGGAATTCACAAGCTACAGATCTCGTGTGTTGTGGAAGACGACAAAGTGTCAGTAGATTGGTTGACGGAACAGATTCAAGAACTTGAAGATTATGTGCAAAGTGTCGATATCGCGGCTTTCAATAAAGTATAAAAAAAAATAGATGAGTCCAACTATAAAAATGAATGGCGATATAGTTGAAAATAAGTATAGGTCTATGTGCCATTTTTGCATTCCATTAGCAGTATCCGTAATAGGAAACTGTTCATATGCGCGTTTCGCTGTATTGAGTCAAAAAAGAAAGATATTTTAAAAATATTGAATGTTATAATCTAATTATTTAAAAATTTTGCAAAACCTGAAAAGCAATTTTACAACAACAAATTTAGCCAGTTTAGGTAAATTACTTAAAGATTTTTATTGTTAATTTTTGTAATAATTTAAATGTGGAAATTAGATATCTATCTTTCGCTTGTGTATATTTCTGATGAATGTTGTAATAGATTGTTTTTGCGAAAATGAAGTTACCTATCACTTTAATTTCTCATATTGTTGTTCTTAAATAAAAAAATACATTTGGCCAATGCAATCTCTTATTTATAATTATAAATTGCATGAATTTATATTTTTTAGACTTTGATTAGAAGCCTTATGTAACATTCCTTCTCATTTTCTTATAAAAATATCCATTGTTATGAATTTTATATCTAAACAATTGATATATAAACATTTGAAGATATATTTGAAAAATAATTAAATAGTTCAAGATCATTTGTTTGATATATAAATTCGAAGTTGTAAGTTATAATAATAAGCTATAATAATTTTTCTTTCAAGTTTTGTTAATTGAATCGGTAATTATCAAAAATTATTATAGATCGGTAATTATAAAAAATCATCATAAATACATTTTTGAGAAGTGTTCGATAAAAAAATATTTTAAGACGGTTGTCTCTTTGCAGTCATATTGAATAATGACGTCAGAGATGAGAAATGACATAAAAAAGATTTCTTACGTCGTTATAGCTTTGTCTAGTACTTTTTCCTTAAAAACATTGATATTTTTGTATTCTTAAAACTTGTAAAAAAATATTAGAAAGTAAGATATCTGTCCAATAAATTACGTAAAAGTATAAAATAAATCTTGGAAATAATGGTACATTGCTTAGCTATCAGAAATTACCAGAACATTAGATCTATCTGCATATATCAGTATTTAAGGTATGTGTATTCTCTATTTTGTGTACACAAAATTTAACGTTTATTATAGCAGATTATATTTTATTATCGTCCGATGATGAAGATACATGTTGACAGAAATCCAAAAGATTTAAATTACGTATGAACTATTTTGAGGACTTAGGCGACATTCGATAAGAATCATTCTCTCTGATTCTGTAAAATTTTTTGTTCTTTTTTTCTTATTTCATATTTTTATAAACAAATTTGAACTCCAGAAAAACAAACTAGGACCGGTATTCATAGTCAGTTTTTACATTTAAGATCGTCTTAAATAAGCTCATATAGCTATTCTATTGGTTGAAATGTTATTTTAAGATAATCTTAAATATAAGAACTGACTATGAATACCGGCCTAACAAACTTATCTTTCTATATTTTCTCGAATTTCTTCACGAAATTGAAGATTATTTGGATTTTACGTATTTATATTTATATTAATATAATTATATATCTTATATAACACTAATTATGAATAAATTCTTTCTCTTTCTCGTTCCCTCTTTTTTAATTTTTAATATTTACTCTATAATTTATTTGAAGTTCTGTACAAATTTATAAAATAACTTCATTTTTTTGTAAACATCTTTCAAAATGTAACTTTTACAAACTTTATGATTAAATATTATTTGC